GACTGCAGGGTCCTGGGTTCGATTCTAGCCAAGGGCACATATCTTGGTTGCAGGCTCGATCAAAGCCCTGGCTGAATGAGGGAAGCAACCAATCAATGTGTCTCACATCAACGTTTCTCTCTCTCTCTCTCTGAAAAAATAATGAAAAAATATCCTCGGGTGAGGGTTTAAATAAATAAATAAATAAATAAATAAATAAATAAATAAATAAATAAGAAGTATAATATTAGTTGGCCATAGAAAAGAATGAATTCTTACCATTTATGACAGCATAGATGGACCTAGAGGGTATTATGCTAAATGAAATAAGTCAGCTAGAGAAAGACAAATACCATATGATTTCACTTATATGTGGTATCTTAAGAAGAATATAAACGAACAAATAAAACAGAAACAGACTCAGATACAGAGAACAGACTGATGGTTTCCAGAGGGCTGGGGGTTTGGGGGATTGGGTGAAAAAGGTGAAGGAACTGAGAGGTACAGATTGGTAGTTACAAAACAGTCATGGGGATGTATAGTACAGCATAGGAAATATAGTCAATAATATTGTAATAACTATATATGATGCCAGGTAGGTTCTTGAAATATTGGGGGGATCACTTTGTAAATTACATGATTGCTATGTATGGTGCCAAGTGGGTACTGGAAATATCAGAGGGAACACTTTGTAAAGTATATGATTCTCTAACCACTATGCTGTACACCTGAAACAAATACAAAATAATATTGAATGTAAACTAATTGAAAATATTTTTTTAATTTTTAAAAGAATAAAAATTATTGAAAAAAGAAATTAAAATGTGTATAATTGGACAATTAATAAAAATAAAATTTTCCAAACTAATGAGGTAAGGGGGAGGAATGAAAAAGAACAGAAAATTCATTAAGCTATTAGGAAGAAGAAAAGGATAAAAGTTATATTTAGGAAATAGTAAAATTGATAATAAACATAACACAAAAAGACAAGATTATTATAATAACTCAAATTTAAATGGATTGAATCTCAAGACACAAATGTGGGATTAGGGCAAAAAGTATACTTACATATAATTACAAGAAGTTTATCTTAAACAAAGAGCAAAACCCAAAGGTCTAGACAAAGATAAACCAGGTAAGTGGCAGCAAAATAAAAGCAACAGTTGTGATGTACTTATCAAAATAAAATTCAAAGTCAAAAGCCTAAACAGACAAAACAAGGAAAATACATTAATGGCATTGTGAAAGATAGCCTAAGATATACACTTTAGGATTCCCTTCCTTAACCCTAAACCTACCCCCTCAAAAAAACACCACAGAACCACAAAGAGAAATTTGTTTACATTTATTCTATCTTTTGATACTATAACAGCTGAAGTAGACAAAAAGAAAAAAAATGAGTAAAGAAACCTTAATCATCAAACTAGATTGAAAAGTCATAATGAGTAATCCGTACCTAACGAAGAATGTAGTTTCTTCTCTTATATTCATGAAAGTTTTACAAAATTCAATTGAGTATCCAGGCCACAAAGAAAATCTTGAATGATGTTTACAAATTTAGATTCAACAACTGCATTCTCTGATCACAGGAAAACCATATTACAAAAAAAAAAGACAAACTACCTTAATCAGTTACAAACTAAGAGCCCTGGCCAGGTGGCTCAGTTGGTTGGAGTGTCATCAGGTACACCAAAAGGTTGTGGGTTTGATTCTCAGTCAAGGCACATACCTAGGTTGCTGGTCTGGGTGTGTACAGGAGGCAACCAATCAATGTTTCTCTATCACATTGACATTTCACTTTATTTCTCTCTCTCCCTCCCTCCCTCCCTTTTCCCTCTCCCTCTCTAAACATATTCTCCGGTGAGCATTTAAAAAAAAACACTGGCTCTCTGCCTCTCCTGTTTCTCAGGCAGCCTGTCTTCCTGCGCAGTGCCAGCCGCAACCCTGAGACACAATGATGTAGATCAGAGTGAACAGATTTGGCCATATTGGGCGCCTGGTCACCAGGGCTGCTTTTAACTCTGGCAAAGTGGATAATATTGCCATCAATGACCCCTTAATTGGCCTCAACTACATGGTCTACGTGTTTCAGTATGATTCTACTCATGGCAAGTTCAAAGGCACACTGAAGGCTGAGAACGGGAAGCTTGTCATCAATGGAAAGTCCATCTCCATCTTCCAGGAGCAAGATCCTGCCAACATCAAATGGGGTGATGCTGGTGCTGAGTATATTATGAAGTCCACTGGTGTCCTCACTACCATGGAGAAGGCTGAGACTCACTTGAAGGGTGGAGCCAAGAGGGTCTTCATCTCTGCCCCTTCTGTGGATGCCCCCATGTTTGTGATGGGTGTGAACTATGACAAGTATGAAAACTCCTCAAGGTTGTCAGCAATGCCTCCTGCACCACCAACTGCTTGGCCCCCTGGCCAAGGTCATCCATGACAACTTTGGTATTGTGGAGGTACTCATGACCACAGCCCATGCCATCGCTGCCACCCAAAAGACCATGGATGGCCCAGAGGCTGCTCAGAACATCATCCCTGCTTCTACTGGCACTACCAAGGCTGTCAGCAAGGTCATCCCTGAGCTGAATAGGAAGCTCACTGACATGGCCTTCTTTCCATGTCCCCACCCCCAATGTGTGAGTTGTGGATCTAACTTGCCTCCTGGAGAAAGCTGCCAAATGTGATGACATCAAGAAGGTAGTGAAGCAGGCTTCAGGAGTCCCCTCAAGGGCATCCTGGACTACACTGAAGACCAGGTGGTTGTCTGGGACTTTAACAGTGACACCCACTTCTCCGCCTTTGATCCTGGGGCTGGCATTGCCCTCAATGACCACTTTGTCAAGCTAGTTTCCTGGTATGACAATGAATTTGACTACAGCAACAGGGTGGTGGACCTTATGGTCCACATGGCCTCCGAGGAGTAAGAGTCCGCTGGACCATCAGCCCCAGTGAGAGGAAGAGAGGCCCTCAGCTTCTGGGGAGTCCTTGACTCAAATGGATCCCCCAACACACTGAGAATCTCCTGACCTCCACAATTTCCATTCCAGACCACCTGAAAAAGGGGAGGAGCTTAACGAGCCCTACCTTGTCATGAACCATCAATAAAGTTCACTGTAGCCCCCCAAAATAAATAAATAAACTAAGAAACTTTCCTCAATAGCTGAGATCAAAATGATAAATCATTTCTGAAGTTGCACCTTTCATTCCAGAGTTTATGAGATACAACTACATTTAGAGGAAAGTGTATAGCCTCAAATCCATTACTATAAAACAACAACAACAACAACAACAAAAACCCCTGGGAAACCAAGAGTAACTGAGTTAGGAATTTAGATTTCATTCATATGTGGGATATAAAACAAAAAGCAACAATTGAACAAACAAAAAACAAACTCATAGACACAGACAACAGAAGGGAGGAGGGTCTGGGGAGGACAAAGACAGTAAAGGGGGTCAAATATATGGTGATGGAAAGAGACTAGACTTTGAGTGGTGAGCACACAATAGAGTATAAAGATGTTGTATTATAATGTTGTACACCTGAAATTTATATAATGTTATTAACCAATGTTACCTCAATAAATATAATAAAAAAGAAATTAGAAAAAGAACAAAAAACTTAATCAAACACATGAAAATGAAACACAAAACAAAAACTCAAGAAATGGCAATTCACAAAAATTTAAGCTTAAATAAATAAAAACAAAATCTGGTACTTTCAAATAATTAATTATATGGATCAACCCCTAACAAATCTGGTCAAATTGAAAAGAAAGAAAAATACAATAGTCTTAATAAAAGAAAAAATATTTATTGCACCAGATAAGTAGTAATATAAACTAGTTATAATGGAATGTGAGGTATAAGTCTAAAGCAACATACTTAAATATTTAAGTAAAATATGTGAGTCCCTGGGGAAAATGTAATTGTGAAAATTAATGAAAAAATTAATAAGGGACCAGTACTCACAGGCAGTGTTACCAGACATACCTCCACTGGCATAGGAGGCCTGACTGGGGCTGGCAAAGGCAGATATGGCAGAGGTCTCAGTACCCTTCTGGCAACCCTATAGGCCTGAAACGGGCATGACTGGATGGAAACTCAGTGGACAGGACAGGCTGGAAAGGGCAGAGCCAGAGCAGGGTGTTGAGGGGAGGAGGACAGGATGTGATGAGCAGGGCTAGGGGGCGACAGACAGACCAGAACTGGATTGGCAGGTGCCAAAACTGACAGAAAGGGCTGGGACCTTGTGGGATAGTCAGGGATAGAACAAGGTAGGCAGGGGCAGGGCATGATTGCTATGACACCTTGAATTCTCCTCAGTGTCCAAAAGTGGAAACATCAAGGAGTACCATTTCACACTCTATCAGCCATCTCAACGTTTTCCCAACACCTCTGGCCTAAGGAATATTAACAGTTACACAGAAGAAGTTGGTGAATTGGCTGTGCACTAATCAAGCACCAGCTATATAAGTGAAGGCCTGGGATGGAGGGGACTGCAGGGAATAAGGGTTAGGACTGCCAGATCCCTTTGTAAAGTCTCAGCTCCCCTGACAGAAGAGGACCCTCTGAACACTGAGTGGGCATCACTTCATAGCTACTCCTGCATGAACACTGCAGCCTGCTTCTAAATACAGTTGCACTGTTACCCACTACCATCAGAGTTTCAGAATTGGGTTTGTGGCTAGACAGATGGGTTTAGGGGCCATCATGGGATATGAAAAGCCCTGTTCTTCCAAATTTTATTAACAAAGCTCTGAGCAGTGAGAAATGAGATTCCCCTGGCCCATCCCAGGTTCAGGAATAGAAGAATGAGCAGAAACAGGAGAGAATTTTGAGGACCCCCTCCCAAAAGGGGATAGACAGAAACAGGAAAACAAATGATGAACAGAGAAACACAGAGACACTCTGAGATGCCCTGAGAAAGAAGTAGTTAAAGAAACATGTGTGTGAGGAATTCATTGGGTGTCTCCCTTACACAAGATACTGGGTACAGGACTTCAGTTGAACATGGCTCAGTTGTGTACTTTAGAGCGCAGGTCATTGGTGAGGGGATCATGCTGGACTGTCTGGTGAAGCATCAGGGCGAGCAGACCCGCCCGGTTCCTCATAGCTGTGCGCACCTTGTGCTCCTGCTCACTCAGCTGTTCCAACTTGTACAACTGTGGGAGGCCAGCATGAGAGGGGGATTCCAGGATTATATCCCATCCCTCAGCCCCACTCAGCATTGTAGCCCTACCGCTCGCACGCGCTCTAGGTCCACCTCAGCACGCCTCAGCTTTTCCCAGCAGTAGTGGTGGATGCACAGGCGTTTGGGGAGGCGGCAGAAATTACCGGTGAGTTCAAAGACATTGTGCACTAGTGGGCAACCACACACCTCATCATCCGTTACCTGTGGGGAAGAATGAAGAATGATGAAGTATGAAGGAAGATAGCAATGGAGAATGATCAGGCAGGCATGATGAGAGGAATAGGGGAATGGAGGGCAATTGAGCAGGAAGGAGAGAAATGAGAAGTGAGCCACCAGGGGAGAAGAGATGAATTCAGTGATTAGGTAGAGAAGAGGAGGCAAATGGGGATGATCAAGCAAGGAGAGTGGAGGAAGAAGTTAACAAGCAGGGATGGAGGAATGGAGGTGATCAGACAGGAAAGACAGAAGAAAAAAGAGAACAAACAGGAAGGAGCAGAATGGCGGAGGGAAGATCTGACAAGAAGAAATAGATAAATGAGGGTTGGCAAGGCATGGAGGAGGTGAGTAATGAGCCAGGGAAGGTGGGAAGAATGGAGGCTGGTAACACAAGGAGAAAGAAAGGATTTAGGAGATGACAGGCAGGGAAAAGACGATTGGGGCCAGTGAGGCAGGGAAAATAAAGAATGAGGGAGGTCAGAAACTGAGGGAGAGAGGAATTGAGGGAGGCCATGCAGAGAGGAAGGGGGGAATGGGGGCTGTCTGGCAGGGATGGGAAAGGAATGGAGGATGGTCAAGCAAGTAAAAGAGAGTGGGGAATGGTATGAAGTGAGGGGCAGAGGACTAGAGGATGGTCAGGCAGAGAGAGAGAGAGAAATGTGGGAAGGGGGTTCAGGAAGGAGCGTACAGATAAACAGCAGGCAAGCAGAGAGAAAAGTAAGACTAGAAGGCGATTGGGCAGTGAAGAGGCAGGAATATGGGGTAGTCAGGAAGGGAGGGGGAGACATAATAGTTGGTCAGGAGGTATGAAGGCAGTGAGGCAGAAGGCAGAAGGAAATAGGAGGCAATCAAGTAGAGAGGAAAAGAGGAATAAGGTGGTCAGGCAGGGAGGAGGGAAGGAATGGAGGGTAAGAAAGAAAGAGCCTCACCTTGGGGTCCTTTGAGTGCTCAGGGCATAGCACCTGGAGCCGTTTACAATACCTCTTACTCTTTGGGTCATAAGCATCACAGAAGAGTCTTGTGGCCCTGGAGGGAGGTTAAAAGTGAGGTGCTAAAGGTCAGGAGGAGGGAGCTCCCATCCTGAACCCTGTCCACACTTTATCTCCAACCTTGCCCATACCCTGCCCCAAACTCACCCACCTTTGCCTCTGAGCCCACCCACATCCTGCCCTTGATCTTGCCCACCCTGCTCCTGACCCCATCCACATAATGTTTTTGATCTTGACCAGCACCACACTTACCCTTCAATGCAAGTGGGGTACAAGGACCCGAAGGACGATTTGCACTCATACTGGAAGATTACAAATGGGAGGAACAGTAGATGTACACTGCATGCCCTCCCATGACAAAGCCCCAAACAATACATTTGTCCCCTTTGGACCCTATGTTCCTGTCTGCCCAGTCAATGGCCCCCCTCTCCACTGGCTGATACCCAATCTTCGTCCTCATACTGGGGATGGAAGAAAAGCACACATGAGTAGAACCATGGGTGTGTGTTGTAGCCCCTTCTACAACAAACGCCCAGGTACCAAACCTGTTCCCCTCCCCATGAACCCCACCAAGCCAAAACACTCTTGCCCAGTCGGCCCCCAGCCAATACCACAACCTTGGCGAAGCAGTGCTCCATGTGGCGGAGGGCAACATGCATACTGATGGATTTCCCACAGGAGACACAGAAGATCTGTTGGACGGTGTCGTTGATAACTTTGGTGCTCTGCACAGGAGAGTGGAGGAGCCAGTGAAGCAGTGCAGAGTGGAGATAGGCAGGGCAAGATATCAGGTACCTTTCCACTACACCCTACCTATTCCCACTCACCTCCTCATCATAGCACACAGCCTGCTGCTTGCCACGCAGAATGATGGCCTCAAGTTCATGGAACTGACACTCCATGTACTTCAGGCGGGTGTGGGCATCCTGCTGCTCATGGAGGATTCTCTCGAGCATTTTCTTGCCATGCTCCTCAGCAATGCAGGGGCTGTTATTCCACTGCTGGATGCGCTGGGGCAGGATCTCATAGATGCGTCTGAAAGCAAGAAATCGAATGGGTAGATAGGGGCAATAAAAGAAGTGGATGAGTAACCAAATGGTGAATATATAAGATAATAAACAGTAGATGAGTGAAAGCTGGTGAATAAGTGATTAAATGGTGAATGGATGGGTGGATAGTAGGTGGCTGGGTGGACAAATGACCATAAGGGTTAGTGGACGGAATGCAGATGGGTGGTTTAGTGGGTGAGTTGCT